AGTGGTTGCTGTTTTTAAAACGCTTTCTAAAAAAAGTTGGCTTGGTTTGGCAACAGCCTCAGGCCTCGATCTACTTATTCCATCTGCCACCCTAGTCCAAGGGACACTGTTGAACAACTGACGACAATAAGTGTCCTTAGTGGGTAGGTACGTACATCTGATTGTTTTCTCTGTTGTTTGGTGTTCACTTCTTATAATAACATCTTTGAAAGGGTTTAAATGCAGTTACTAATTACATTGCATGATGCATGACTGATTTATAGGTGGTTAAAAATGATAACTTCATTACATTTTCTTAACGCTTTTAGGATTCTCTTTCTCCTGTCACTCCCAACCAGTCCTGACAGATGCCTGTTCATCCCTGAACCTTGTCCTGCAGAAGGCTTCTTCCTGTTAAAATTGAGTTTTTCCTTCCCACTGTCACCAGGTGCTTGCTCAAAGTGGATCCTTTGATTGTTGGGGTTTTCCCTGTATTGCTATTGGGTCTTTACCTTGTGGTCTTGAGGTGACTGCTGTTGTGATTTGATGCTATGCAAATAAAACGGAATTGAACTGATAGGAATTGATGTGGCCTGCAACACAAGCAGTGGCCTGCAATCTGTGAAATCCACATTACATGTACAACTGCAAGTGAAAGTAGGTTTTTAATCAAAACCTGGAAACATGACTTGTCTGCATTGAATTCATAAAATAAATCAGGGAAAATAAACTGGCAATGTTTTAACAAACCCAAATGTGTGAAACACATATTGTTTTATAGGATCTTTGCTGCTGGAGGATGGAGCATAGAAGGTATTTCAGTGTCCGACCAAAAGTATAGAATGAAGTGCTGCTTGCAGGCATAATAAAACCAGCTGGGCACAAAACAAGGATAGCTATTTTTGAGGATGGGGGTCCAGAGGGCCATAGTTCCCGATTCATCCTTCATAAATGTAATGTGATGATAAGGAGCTTATAGCCTCTTGTTATCCTCCAATAGGGACTGACAAAACAAAGGGCAGTGTACCAGCATGCTAAAAGATTTCCATTCTAGTAACATCTCCCCGTCCACTTAACACCCACATCAGGTCAGCTGTTCTTAATTTGGTCAGCACCACCAATTAAGCTTCCATCCAGGGGTCTGGGTGCACTGAGGGGTAAATATTGACCCTTGTTTGTAAGCAAGGTTCACAGTTTGAGAGTGCAAAATGGCCCATTTGTGTTCGCGAGATGCTTAGGTCATCGCATTCACCCGTCTCGGCTGTGTGAGAGGACCTAATAGACACCTGCCCACATGATAGCAACTGGTGTTGGTTATCATTTCATGACAGACTAAACTCATTTAAATAAGGCTGAGAGACAAAAACCATAATCATGGTGTTTGAAGTACAAGTAAAAAAATTTTGTCCTCAACATTGAGTTCAGTGTTTCAGATCAGTTATAAAATTTTATTCAGCGACTCAGTGTGAAATTAGTTAACATTTTCCCATCAAAAAAAGTAAAGTCCCAAATTCTCGCCACAAGCACTGAGCCTCAGATGACCTCTGGTCTTTGTCCTGAGGACCCTGCCCTGCCCTCGCCACCTCCCTTCTCACTGACCAGTCTAAACTCTGTGGGAAACCATCTTCCCCAGTGCTTTGTGTTGTTTTGGACATTGTGCGCCTCACCGGATAATGTCTCCCTCCCCTCTGTTTCTCTTCTCTTCGATCTGAAGAGCTGCTGTGTGGAGTGTGGTGTCCGGTGCTAAATGCCCACTAAGCTGGATACAGAGATGAGATGTGACCATGGGTGGGGGAAAAGCAGCTTTTCATTCCTACTCATTGGGTTGCTCTCAAACACTGCTGCTGTAACTCTGCTGAGCAATTACCAGTGATGGATGCTGGCAGGTGATTTAGTGTTGATAACTACATTAACCTCTTCATTTCTTGTGGCAAAACTTAAACTCTACCAAAACTTCCCAGTATCTCAATAATAATTTTTAGGAGACCTGAATTCCAGGAAGTTAAAAAAAAAAAAAAAAAAAGGATTTTCTTATATAGTAGTCTAAAAATGTGATCACTTGAATGATAAACTGAGGAGATCTCTAATCTCATCTCTGTGCACAGAGCTTCAGAGTATCAGCTCATTGTTTTAGTTTTTTTAAATTGCAGTTAATTTATCCTGCTCTCATTTTTAGGCTGCTTTCAGCTGTTTTATTTCAGGCATCCAGTTTTCAGTGCTGGGTTTCATTATGTAGACATAATAATGAAGACCCACTAGTTCTTCATCAAGTCTTCATCTGTTAGTTTAGCCGCTAAACTCCAACATCTAGTGTCTACCTGTTGATTGGCAACATTTTGCTTTCAAAAGGCCACATCAATACCATGAAATGAATCAGTTAGATTTGACTTGATTTACTTCACAATATAATTCCTGCATAACTCTAAGTAACCTTAATTCCAAAGGAAACAGCCTCAAAAACATTCTTCAGCAACTGCACTGCTAACTGTGACACATCCTATTAGTTTCTTTTCTATTCATTTAAATGCCAGCACGCTCACTGAACAGAGATATGCATTTAACGACTTCCATATCTCTTTCTGCTCATTAGCTGTACTTTTAACATTAAATGTTCTGTTTTCAGACTTTGAGTCAAGTGAGGATTACCTCCAGCTTAAGGACAACCCTCCAAACTCTGGAAATAAGTATGCCACCACTTGAATTGGGATGTCAGTCACCTCGAAACGAGGACCCAATTGACCCCTTGGCATTTGACCCTTATTAACCACGGGTGAAAGTGCTGTATTCAAGGTGTAGCCATCTGTGTGCCTTGTTGCGCTGGGGCTCTCCTCCTCCCTCAATCTTTATTATCCCTCCCAGTGTGCAGCAGCAGTGAGATTGATCAGAGGATGGCTGCTTGATACCGACATACTTTTGAAGAACTGCAATGAATAGTCCACCCACTCCACAGCCAAGTAAAAACCTCAATATATGTGCGTGCCAAAGGCAGTGGTGAGATGTAATGCACACTGCAGCTTAAATGGTTGGGGTCACTTTGAAATATTCCTGTTTTTAAAAGAAAGAGAAGGAATTTTTTTTTGAAAAATAAATAATAATATTAAAGAAATGCTTTAAGTGAAAATGAATAATTACTCAAATCATACATCATAAATTCAGTACATAGTTTATGTACATAGACACAAAGAGGCCTGTTTTCAGTAAGATCGCCCCTGTGATCCAGTGGTATATTGCGTAACCTAAAGCAAGTTTATCAAGTTCATCTGGTGACTGATCTTTGGCTATTCTTTGGACAGTCTGTGGGCGTTTTGTGGGTGTGATCACTGTCTCTTCTAAGAAATGAAACCCGTTCTATGTGGGAAATTTCTGAAAACAGTGTAATATTTTGTCACTTCATCTCCACTGAATAGGCTGCACTTCTCTGAGCAATCAGATCACACAGAAATGCTGTAGATAGATCAGTTGGAACACTTGTAATCATTTTTTGTTATTGCAAATGAAAATAAATTGTCTTTTTCTTTTGAATATAAAAACATTTTTCAAGACTTTTGAGCAATAGTGTAAGTATATTCATTTAGCTGCTTTGCCCTTCTGCTCCACTGCAGAAAATTACTGCACTTCTTACTGCCGGTTGCTATGATCATATTCTGATGATGATATTAGGTAAACAAGCCACAGTTAGCTTATGACATACACCGATCAGGCATAACATTATGAGCACTGACAGCTGAAGTGAATAACACTGATTATCTCTTCATCGTGGCAGCTGTTAGTGGGTGGGATATATTAAAGAGAAAGTGAACATTTTGTCCTCAAAGTTTATGTGTTAGAAGCAAAAAAAATGAGCAAGTGTGAGGATTTGAGTGACAGAGTCATGGGTGCCCAAGGCTCAGTGATACACATGGGGAGCAACGGCTGTCATGTGTGGTCAGATCTACATACAAGCTAGTCTAGTCAAATTTCCCAAAAGTTCACTGTGTTAGCCCTGTGACAGCCCGGTGACCAGCTCATGCTGCGTGATCTGATATTTCTGGGTTGGTGTTGTTCTGACATTATCATAGCAATGTCAGTCCAGGATCAGCATTACAACTGACCATCAGTCATGTTGTCTGAGAATTGAGTTAGCATTAGCCAAAAAGTTAGCTACCGCTATTAAAAGCTATCCCTAGCAAACCAACATTGAGAAAGCTAAATTTGGCTGACAGCAAACCTAGCTTGATAATACATACCAGTATATGATATTTTATAAATTAATAAAGAACACACCTAGAATTGTTTCCATTTGTTCTAGAAGACAGTTTTATATAAACAAAGACATTTCCCCCCCTTTTTTATTCCACATTTCAAGCTGACAGACAACAATTGTTAGTTAGCTGCAAAGTCAGTCCTGGAGAAACTTATGATGATGATGATGCAGGAACAACACCGATACAGGGATATCAGATGGCCCTCACTTCATGGTAGTTCGTATGGTGATTTTTACACCACATGCCTTTCAAGACTCTTCATACAATTTCTATCCCTGATTTAAGGATTAATACATTTTCCTGCCTTGAAAATTCAATCCAGTAATTTCATGAAGCAAATATTACGTTTTACTCAATTATTTGTTCACAGGAAACTAACCTTAAAATTGCTGAAAACAAAAACATATTCATAACTACTCTGCATTGTGTCAGTGATGACTGTTCTGTTTGAGGGGACTAGCATTGGCAGTTTACACAGAGGAGAGAAGCACTGACGTCTACTGGAGTTTTAATCACAGGAAAAGCATGTGTTAGCAGATGACTGACAGCTCACTCATTGCTTCTTTGAGCAGTGACAGGATCTTTGGAAATTGAGTTGAACTTTGAACTTTTTTAAAAAAAAAAGGTTCATCCACCTTTCTTATCATTCAGTCACATTTATGTATACTAGTCAGCTGGTGAGTTAGAGGTTTGTTTAGGATATTGACTCTGGCAGTCACTGAACATATAACGTGACTCTGAGTGTGAAACAATTTGCACCCAGAAAAAGTCTGAAAACTACTGAATGGGGCTCTCGATCAGTGTCTCGTTGCTACATTGTGAGGGTTCATGCTCATTTTTCACAATATGTTCCTTAATGTTGCCATCTTCCTTCTGAAACTGTACCTTCACTGTCAGTGGAGAACATATATCTACTTTACACTTTATGATCATGATGCCATTTGATGCTTGTAGGCTACAGGTGCTGAGATCTGGCATCTCATCTCTGGACAAATGACAGACCAGCTGATCCTTGTTGATGGACATGACTGCCCGTTTTTTCAAAAAGTTTGGGCTCTCACATACCACCCTGTCCAGCATCTCCATGGTTTTGCTGTTTTCCAACACCCAGTCATGCAGGTACCATATGTGGCAGTCACATTTCCAAGGGTTTCCATGCAGCCTCACGGTGTACTGCAGGATAAAATGGTCGAAAAGGTCCTCTGGGAGACTCTCCAGTTGGTTGTCAGACAGGTAGAGCTGCTGAATGAATTCCTGGCTCTTGAACAGTTTGGCATCCAAAGTGCTGAGATTGTTCTTTTGCAGGTAGATTGTCCTAATCTCAGACAGATCATTAAAGATTGTTTCGGGCAGTGAAGTGATCTGGTTTTCAGACAGGTCCAGGATCATCAGTGCTGTAACATTTCTAAAAATGTCTCCAGTAAGGTTGGAGAGCTGGTTAGAGGACAGGATGAGGTTGGTAAGTAAAGTCAGACTGCTTAGAGAGGACAGCTCAGTTAGTCTGTTGCCTTTTAGGTTCAGTTCCGACAAATTTGAGCCCTCAAATCCAAACACTTTATCGCTAAAGGTTGTAAGAAGGTTCCCACGGAGATTCAGCACCTGCAATTCAGTTAACACAGCAAAGATGCCATCATCAAGTTTTGTTATCATGTTCCCTTCCAGATGAAGCTCTGTCAGCTGAGAAACATTGTGGAATGTGTCAGATGTAAAATTGCTGAGGAGGTTGTTGTTCATTTTCAAGATCTCTAACTTTTCCAGACCACAAAAAGTTTCTTTTTTTACTCCCTCAAGCTTATTTTGGGACAAATCCAGGACACGCAGCTTTTGAAGGTTCAGGAAAAGAAACCCAGGTAGATCTGATATGACGTTGCCCTTCATTTGCAGAGTTTCTAGCTGTTTCAAGGAGTCAAACATACCAGGAAGCACCGTCTGGAACCTGTTGAAGTTGAGCAGCAGTTTAGTCAAATTTCCTTGCTTTGAAAAAGTTCCTAGAAATAAATGATCCAAGGGGTTCCCGCTGATCTCCAGTTCCTGAAGCTCAGTCAGATGTTCGAATGCCCGACAGTGAATACTTTTCAGTTGATTATCCAGGAAAATAAGCTTGGTGAGTTGAGGACTGCCCTCCAAAGTGTGAGAGAACAGGTACTGCACAGCCGTAGTCATTACAATAAAGTCCTTGACCTCCCTGGAAATATTCTTTGGTAAAGACGTCATTGTTGCATCAGCACATAGCACCTGGACCAGAGTGAAACACTGACATTGGTATGGACAAAACTCTCCGCTGCCTTTGTGGCAGAGAAGCAGCAGGAGCAGGATCAGACCCAAATTTCTGTCCATTTTTTACTGAAAAAAACAAACAAACCCAACAACAAAGAAAGAGGAAATTCAAAAAAGCTCAGACTCATGCACTGCAAACAAAAACCTCTGTGTTACAGCGATCGAGGAACACTGTGACAAGTTTCTCTGTGGGCTTGGAAGTCAGCTGACAAAAAGTGCAAACAACAACACAAGTGTGGGTTAGGCAAGAAAAACCTTTGCCCGCTGGTCAGCTCCGGCCACAAAAAAAAAAGATTATCATGCAATTCAGCAAACCAGCAAAAGCAAATGTTTCTTTACGGAACAAGTAAATCAGAGAGAAGTCGCACTGAGAAGATCATTCATGTGTGAAATAATGTCAGGAATCATACAATCAACTATGCTACTTCCTTCTTATTAAGATTTTACAGTTAACGTTCCAAAGCTGGAGTACTCGGCTTGGATCTGCGGATAATTTGATAATAATTTGTATTTTATGGCATGTAAATATTCTGTTATTAGAATTAATGTTTGTATTGATAAGAAAAATGAATAAAAATCAACAGATAACTTACGGAGATTAGTGGTTTAATAAATGTGCACTTTGTCCCTTTTTTCATGTGTAAGCTGAATCAGAATAGGTAGAGTGCCACTGGAGTGTATTTTGCTTTATTTTTTACAGTATTTCTATTTTTTTCACTAAATGAATTTCTGTATATTGCTTCAATTATAAAAATAAAGTGAAAACAAACAAACAAACAATGGGACAGATGATCACTGCTGCTCACTGTGGTCTTACTGACTGTTGTTACTTACTTTAGAAAAGATTTTATTGGAGTTCACTGCGTATGTGTGGGTTCATTTGGTTTTATTATTTGCAGAAGACCTTCACAGCCAGAAGGTGTCACCCTGCACCTCCTGACTTCAGCAGGAGTTGATGGCATTCTGGGATCCTCCCTCTCCTCTAGGTCATTCCTTAAAGATGCACAGGTGATTAGGCGCCTTTATTTGGGAGCAGGTCGCCAACACAAACCCACTGGGAACATCATTGAGCAACATTTTTTCACCTTTATATCTTTAAAAAACAACAACAACAACAACAACAACCAAAAAACTCCCCCAAAGAACTTTTGCCATTTTCATTTAAATTCTTATTTTAATTCATCAAACAATGGCAAACGCTGGAGTGCAGCTTCTCGGATTCATACTGGCCCTCATTGGCTGCTTTGGCGTCATCGCGGCCACAATCATGGTGCAGTGGAAAGCTTCAGCCTACGTTGGGGACAACATCATCACGGCTCAGGCGATGTATGAAGGGCTTTGGCAGACCTGTGCGAGTCAGAGCACCGGACAAGTTCAGTGTAAAGTGTATGACTCCCTCCTCCAGCTGCCAGGTACTGCTTTATATACACCGTGTTTTTACCTTTTGTGATATTTCTTCATTATTATTACATGCTGATGACGGTCATAGCCAGAGAATAAGGGGTTTATGAGTAACACAGTGTCCAAAATCAAATACTTGTTCTATTTTTTGGGTGTAGAAGGGGGTAGTTAGCTGGGTGGGGAGCATGTCATGAGATAGTGAATGGTGCACATTCAAATAATACCCGAACAGTTACTTTCAATACCAATGCTAGAAGTTTAAGTAGAACTGTGGTTGTTCTATGAACAAAAAATATGTTTAAGTCTGTGGTCTTTCAAAGCCTCGAGGTCACTAAAGGGAGAGTGCACCTTTTTCCTTCTCCTTCTTAGACCTCCTGCATGCAAAGACATGTTGGTCAAATACCATAACCTACGTCATGAAAGAGACATGAAAGACAAAGTTTAAACTTCATGCTGTTAGTGTTGCAAATCAGTCAAGTGTAAACATTTTTACAAAAAAACACAACTATCAGATCAAAAATAATCCCTTCGATGAACGTGTTTCTTTTCCTTTTTTTTTTTTTTACACTTTTACCCTTTTTTTCTGAAACACATTCATTCAGTGGAAGTTAAACAAGGATTGAGACAATGTGAGGAACACTGCACTACAAGCCCCGCAACAGAGAACTACACAGCAACACACAAAAGAATAGAACAAATAAAAACAAAAACATGAAAAACTAAAACTAAAGGATCAAATAGGCTGTGAGTGAGCTCTTCTATTCAGAATCATATTTATTTGTTAGAAGTACAATTTTTCTGGTGTGCACTTAAATGATTTATATGTTTTTGTGATAGGACAGTCTGCAATGTTTCTTGGGAGACGGGATTAGAAATCTGAAGGTAACACTTGATGGGGAGTCTTCATCCAGATGAGGAAGATGCAGTTTTGATCAGTTAAATTTAGATTCTCAGTAAGTTTGTAGCGTGACGCAAAAAAGACGCAATCTGGCTTAAAGGGTTGCCCTCGATTAGAAGAGAAAGGTAACAGAGGTGATGTGTGGTCTGTTGAGGATTGATTGTTAAAGAAAGAACAGTTAAACATGGACTAATAAAATGGCACTCGTGTAAAATTTTGTTTTCTGTGCTACTGCTGTGAAGTATCTCCCTGTTTGGAGGGATTTCAACTGTCTCTAACCACCCAGTTACTTCTTAGTGAAGTAAGCCTTGAGTGAAACCTGCTCTGACTAACGTACCCTCTCTGTGTCTGCAGGAAACGTACAGGGCACACGAGGGCTGATGGTGTCGTCCATCGTGCTGTGCTTCATTTCCATCCTGGTGGCAGTGATGGGTATGAAGTGCACTACGGTCATGAGCGACTCTCCAGAGCTGAAGGATAAGGTGGCCCTGAGTGGAGGGATTATCTTTATTCTTGCTGGTGAGAGTTAAATCATCTTTTTATGGGTTTTTAAAAAAAGTGTAACATAGTACTTCTTTGTTTTTACCTGCGTTCACAGCTACATTGGAACATCGTTTTAGAATGTGAGGTTTTGCATTCGAGATATGTCAAAGATAACACAACTGCGCAAGTAGTTACCTCTAAAATCCAACAATATAGAGAAGCTTTTGTGCTCGCAATTTTCCAGGTCTGCTTGCCCTGGCGGGAACTTCCTGGTTTGGCAGCAACATAGCAAAGGAATTCTACAATCCATTCACTCCGACTAACTCCAGGTGAGCATCTCCTCTGTCACACGAACCCCTCCACAATCCTTATCAGGTATCACTGAAGGTTTCTTTGGTGAATCCACAGACAGACATCAGATTAAAAAAAGTCTGTCTCTGTGACAGAGACCAAAAAAAGTTCAAGATTCAGCATTACAGCACACACAAAGGGAAATGAAAGAGTCCGGTCCCCGACAAAAATTCAGGCGCGTGAGCCGTGCAAACCCACAACATTTTCACACTTGGCACCAAAGAAATAGGTCTATTTCCTGAAATGTTTACCTGCTCCTTTGAGTTAGTGCCACATCGGCTCAAAGACAACACGTGTTGTTCTGACATTTTTTATGCATTTTTAAAAACACGTTCTGTAAAAATTCACAAAAAACATGCTACACACATAACAGCGTATTTACTTTGTGTTATTTCTTAAGAAATCCTTCTTTA